TGCTCTTAGAAGTTCTTCTTGTTATAACATTAATGGAGAAGACAAGTTATTGTACGTTAGTTGAAATGTAGATAGAAATACAAACCTTTTCCTGTTCTGTCCTAGGACTTTCTAACATTTGAAGCTTACCGGGATTTGCTCTTCCCTACCTATGATAAAGGCTGAGAGGGGACTTCAGCAGTAGAATTTCATTCCGCTTTGGACACGCAACAAAAAGTGAGGGAGGGGCAAATATTTCACCGAAAGGTGGGAGGGGGGCCGAAGATCCTGCAGCCCAGCTGGATCTTCCCATCATGATCGACTAAAGAGAAAGTCGGCGGATATATTGGTTCGAATCCAATTCATGATTACAGTTCAGAAGGACTTCATTCAATCGATGTTTAGGATGGAACGGACTAGTCGTTCAGTAGTCTTACAGAGCGGTTACTCAATGGTACAGTACAGACGTCTTTGATCCTTCTTGGTACGGGAGTTGAGGTTGAATAAGTCGTTCAGATAGCCGTACAGACAGACAGAATCGAATCTTTTTGTGAAAGAAAAAAGGGGATAGGGAGCTGGCAATGTCGGAGATCCTACCTCAGAATCTTTCTATTTAGAAGTTAGGGATAGAAGGTGAGTACCAACTCGAAAAGTATACTCACATCCCATGTCTTTAGCCAACCGTCTTGATTGAATAGATTTCCTGATGTCTAGTTTTCCTACTGTGGAAATCCTATTTAGAGTAGACTCACTTCAATGAAAGCTATTACTTAGTAGGTCAAAAAGATTGACTTTCAAACGTCAGCATCTTATCCTATTAGGGGAAATAGGCTAAACTATTGGCGTGTAACGGAAGAAGGGGAAGAAAAGAAATGATCCTAGCTGTCGAATGCAGCTTGATCTTAATCAGAGGAATGAAGGTCTTTGAATCGCTTATCTCTCAGACTGAACTGACCGGGGAGTACCTGAGCTCTTTCTCTGTTTAATCTGTATTCCTTAGTTCTGTTATTAGCTGTTAGGTGGGGGAAGTAGAATCCCTAAGGTAAGTTCTTCTGATCTCATATGTATGTATACTCAGGTTCTACTGGGATTCTCGAAAGAGCTCCTTTTGTTCTTCTCTTTGGTTTGGAGTGAGAGGAAGTATCGGAAGGTGCCTTGTTCAGCACACTCCTCTGCTTTGCTTTGCTTTTCCGAGACCAGCTATTTGCGATCGAAGTTGAATAGTTCCTATGAAGATGCGTAATCCCATTCCGTTGTCGTCCTTCTTCTTCTTGCATTTATTTTCATTGTAAACTGAGCTTGTCGATCAAACTGTGGCTTAGGTCGGACCGTTCCCTAAATTATTCACTTCCTCACAACCGAGCCCTTCGAGTCTTTGTCCTGAAAACAGTTCCTTCTTCGCATCTCTCAAGTGAGAAGGATTTGGTCTCATCTCTTCCTCTCCTTTTAGTCGAGACTCTTCCTGGAAAGCCTAAACCCTCACTCTTCCAAGCGGACATCAATCCCGGAATAGTGTAAGTAAGAAGAAGACCGGTTAGGATCACACTAGTCCTGGCTGGCCTATAACTCCTCAGAAACAAAAAGAGGCTTGCAGGTCTAGTCGCATACCCCTATCGTCTTATTGTTCTATTCGTTGCAGTGGTAAACTCATTGAATACTCAAATATGGTTTAGTCACACCCTTAGTGTACATTCTGATTCAATAGCAAACAGAGCATTCTTTGCTTATGATTCCATTCCTGAAAACAATTCTATCGGCGAATCGAGGAACTCTCCCCACAGCTTTGCTTATTCGTGCAAAGATCCAGCATTCCTTCACTTATCATATAGAATAACGATCGACAAGTCCAGAGTGTGCACCAACGAGAGATTGAAGTACGCTTGCAAGATTCTCCGAATAGCAGCATTCTTCTCTACTATGTGATTGAGAAGTCAGTTAAGTCAGTCTACTGTCCCGGCACAGAAGGCATTGAATACGGCTGTTCAGGCTAGCAACTGATTCTCCGGTAAGATAGATTCAGTCAGTTCCGGCCGGCATTCAATAAAGAAAATAAATGGGCATTGAGCTAAGTCAAGCTTTTTTCCAAGTGTTGTAAAGAACGGGCTACAACGAAAGTCAAAAAGATGAAAACTTCCGTCACTGCGCACCACTTTGGGCTCTGGTCCACTTTCGCTCCGTTTACGCGAATCGGTTGTATCTGCCCGCTAGGAACGCTGGCATCTGTTGACAACAGTCCCGCTAAAGGCCGCTGTCTCTTCTCGGCAAGGTAAGTTAGTTAGGAATCATAGCAGTCGGTGAAGCTTTTTCTTTGTTATGCACAGATGGTTGGGCGCAGCTGCTAAGGAAAAAGTGATAAAGCTTTAATACCTAAAGTTTTAAATCTTTTTTTTTTATTATTGTTGATACTCCTGCAGAGAATCTCTTAGGAGCGAACGCGATCTATTTAGACCTGATCTATCAGGGCACGAATAGTCGCTACTTTGCCCAAGCTCTGGAGTTAGTGCTTTCGTTCAGTTCATAAGGTTGACTTTTTTTTTCTAAAGCGGTATTCCTCCTTGCCTCTGAATTCAAAAATCACCCTATGCGAAGAAATCTAAATCTCCTTTTTTCCAGTTCCACAAATTCTGCTGCGGAAAACGACATTCTGACGGGAGTCCCACTTCGGGATATATTACCGAATAAATCAGAATTGGACGTAATATCGGATCCTTTGTATTGCTCAGGGACAGTGAGTTTACGGGGAGACATCGTAGATCCACTCATCATTTCAAATATTACACGCTTGAATCACTTCTTAGTGAATCAGCGGTATGACTTTTATGGTGGGATCATACAGTCCCCGTATATTCGAGACCTGCAGCGAGAATTGGACCAGACTCCTGCAGAACTCCTCAGCGATAAGCTGAACTTTATTTTTTTTCGCGAAACCCTCAATTTAAAAACTCGAGTGAATGAGTGGTATATGCAGAATTTGGGGGTTCCTGGCCCTGCTAATTTTCTTCAAGAATATGAAGAAAAATGTTACTCTAACTATGTTAGAGTGATGGAAATCCCCACACCCCTGGAAGAATTTCATTTGACATTTTTATTTACTATTACTACTATCGGTATTATTATTATATTCTTATTTTTCCTATTTTTGGGTATGAGAAGAAAGAAGAATTGCAAAAAGTCGGACAAAGAGATGTTAGAAGGTGCAAAATCAATAGGTGCCGGAGCTGCTACAATTGCTTCAGCGAGAGCTGCTGTCGGTATTGGAAACGTCTTCAGTTCTTTGATCCATTCTGTGGCGCGAAATCCATCATTGGCTAAACAATCATTTGGTTATGCCATTTTGGGCTTTGCTCTAACCGAAGCTATTGCATTGTTTGCCCCAATGATGGCCTTTTTGATCTTATTCGTATTCTGATCGAAGAAAGAAGGTTTCATTCAGTCTCATAAAGCAAGCACCTCTTTCACATAAGAAAGTGGAGACAGGCTTGGATATGATCTAAAATGATTCCACATGAAAGAGGACCGGGCAATCGCCCTCTTGAGTAATGGGAAGCGGGCTAGTCCCCGAAAATGCCCGTTAATCAAAAAAGTTGGGGACAAAATCTTCCTTATAATCAAATAAGGCTTCCGCGTTGTAACAAGCCTTCTGAGCCAGGATCAAACTCTTCTTTTGACTATGATTGGGCCCTGCAGTGGTAGAACCTCGTGAACCGGGCGTACTGACTTCCCAACCTTCTGTGGACCTTTCTTCTCTATATAACTTAAATGAGAATCTTCTTCTCTATCTTTTTAACTGGAATGAGATTTTTATTCTCTTACGATATTTGAATGCAATTGGGCTTCTCTATATTTGATAGAGTTTCGTTTCTTTTATCTATCTCCCCATTCGAACGAGGGAAGTGAGCTGGCTAACTCCTGTAAGCAGCTTTCTTATCATATACGTATTTCTCTGTCATTCTTCCTTCACTGCAATTATCTGTTTATTATCCGTGTTCTATCGTAGCTAACCAACACTTGGAGGGAGCGAGCAAGGACCTGCTCGCGACTGTAGCTACCTCTGCAAGTGCAGCTAAAGCAGGGGCGCAAGCCCCGTTTTTAAATATCTTTGCTTTCTTTCCACAGTTCCGAGTAGGTCTGCAAGCCTAGGAGGATCATCGTACCTTTTGTATTACAGTTGGTTAATCAGCTACCCCTTCCCTTCTATTTTCCTCTTCTTAACCTCGTCATTCCGAGTTATAAGATTCCTAGTTCTGGGTCTGGGTAAGGGAAGGGTCTAGGTTCCTAACATTCCTTCCCAACTCACCACTTATCTCCCTAGTTCTTGAATTCCAAGTTCTGGGATTCTTTGATTCTGAGTTCTGAGATTGTTAGTTCTGGGACTGAGAGTGCCAGGCTGCGACCCATCTTTGCAAAGCAAGAGCGAGGCCAAGAAGCAGCAGCGCTCGTACACTAGAAGGATTTGGGTATAGAGCCCGCTACGCGCCTTCAAAGGCCGGAAAGAGATTTCGCTTTGGCTTTGGTTCGCTTGACCGTGTGACTATGGTTCCTGTGGTCTTGTTCAAATAGAATCAGTCCCCTTTTTGGGTGCTATCACATAGCCCTAAGCAGGGCAAGGAAGGTATCTAATCGACAGCAGAGAGATATGCCAATTAGAGGCACACTTACTAGAAACCTCTTTTCGTTAAATCATATCATATGGTCAGACAGAATTCTTATCTTAGTGACTCTTATCCAATCTCTTTAGGGAGATAATGACTCATGGGTATGGGTCAGGACAGTATGAACTTCGAGGGTTCAATGCAGCTAGAGAGCTGCTGCACCTACGCTTCTCTGGCTGCAGGAGATGGGGTCTCGATAAAAGGAAAGGGATGAGTTCATTCTCTGGAATGGTCTCGGAGATGGCTTCTCTTCCCTCGGATGGAGCATCTGACCTTCCGTTGGAGATGCAATATATGGGGTTCCATGGATCCATTAGTTGGTTCCGCGGTTCCTCGCTAGGGGAGAGAGCAGCCTTTCAGGAGGAACCTGTGACACCTGCACGGATGCCTGGCTGGAACGATTTGACAACGAATTCAATCTTGTCTTGGATGCCCACCCTACAGGATAATATCCATTAGAATCCCATCCCCTATCTTCTTTTGTTCTGCTTCTCGTAATTTTCCTTGTTGCTTGGTTGGATACCCTTCGCCCTGACCTTTTCGAAAGGATTTCAAGCCATAACACGCCCTACGTTCCTATTAAGATAAGAAGAAGGGGATCTCGTAACGACCCCCCGATCCTCACATAGTAGTTTAAGGGAAGAGAATGGAATGACTCGCAAAACAGCGTAGCAAACTACAAGCGAACGAACGAGCAGAAACAAGCTAGTCATGGGTGTGGTTCCTCTCCTTTCAGTCGAGTTGCTAAAGCACCTCGACGCTGCCAAGCTCTCTGTCTTGGTTAATGGTTCTCCAAAAGGATATTTCTCATGTTAGGCGGTGTGAGACAGGGGGATCCTTTATCCCCCGTTGTTATTTTGTATTGCGGAAGATGTCTTATCACGGGGTCTTACCGGGCTTAATCACCTGGGCATTCTTTCTTCAATTACCGAGACCTGGACATACAAAGATCTAGGCAGCTCATCTTCTTCTAACGAAGTCAGATCTTTTTCCATACCATAACGTATATAGAATCGATTTTCTTTTCTGATCGCTAGCCTGCCGGGCCGCCCCCGCGATCAAACTATCAATCTCATAAGAGAAGAAATCTCTATGCCCCCTTTTTCTTGGTTTTCTTCCCATGCTTTTCATTGGTCAACAATCAAACCAACCACTAATTCTTCCTTCACTACTAATACAGAAAGAAGTCTTGTCTTCTTCTTTTCGGAATCCATTTTTTTTATCAAAAGAAAGACTCAAAAATAATATAAATAATAATATATAGAATATAGAAAGAATTGCTTAAATAACTCAGCGATCTAAAATCATAGTCACGATCTACTAAAAGTCAAGTTGAGCACCCGGACCAGAGGTGGCCGAGAATCTTATGTCAAAAGGACTAACGACGATGAAAGAGGAGAAGGAGGAGTAGGAGGAGTCAGACGGAATCAAATGATTACGAGATAGACAATGAGACCAGGGAGAGCAAGAGCACTTAGACAATTCACTTTGAGTACAGGAAAGTCTGCTGGTAGGAATTCCTCAGGGCGTATTACGGTTTTTCACCGAGGGGGTGGCTCGAAGCGATTGCTGCGAAGAATTGATCTGAAACGAAGCACTTCCTCTATGGGCATTGTAGAGAGTATAGAATATGACCCTAATCGTTCTTCTCAGATCGCTCCAGTACGATGGATCAAGGGGGGCTGCCAGAAAAAAATGAACACGATCGAGGAGTTAGCTCCGCCGCGCAAGATCCTCGAACCTACCACGAACACCATCAGCGGCCTCTTTTCGTTCTCTTTCCTGCCCGGGAAGGTGGATCAAAGAAAGGTAGCTTGCTTCTCTCCTGGACTGATGGCCGCTTATGTAGTGGTCGGCCTTCCTACCGGAATGCCTCCTTTGTCTTCGTATAAGAGCGCCTTTGCTAGTAAGGGCGCAGGAAGCACAAAAACTTTAGTGAAGGACGTCTTCTTCTCTGCCTTCTCCTCTCCAAAGGCCAAGAGAGAGACTGCATCCCTTGCCTTCGCTAGCTCTTTTGGTTTCCCAAGGATAGCGGTAGCTGGGGTTCCTACCGCTTTCTTCGCTCCGCGAATGAGACAGAAAGTGAGAGGAAAAAGCACGTTCTCTCTTTGCGAGGTCCGAAAGTGGAGAACGCATAGCATTCTCTGGGCACATAGGATCAAAGGTAAAGCAGGGCTTTCTTGGCAGAGTTTTAGGCGGCAAGATACTTTAGGGCTTGTTGGAGCTGCTGGGCATAACAAATCGAAGCCGAAGACGGATCAAGGTAGCTTGCCTGCCAAGCCGATAGGCGAAAGGGCGAAGCAACTCAAAGCTCTCCGGGGTTTGAGGGCGAAGGATGGAGCGTGCAAAGTCGATCGTGCACCTGTCGTGTGACCCGTTGGTCCTAAGCAATGTCTTGCGCGAAGCGACCCACCTAGAAAGAGCTCTCCTTTATCTGGGGGCACTAATAAAATGAAACTTCGATCAGATGCGGGTATCAAATCCCGCCGCTGAGATGTCCAGCGGATTCCTGGGCTTTGATGAAAGGCCGGCCACCTTTTTTTACGGAGAGCAAAAGGCCCGGGGCATAGCAGGATGAACCAATGTGAATGAGTGTAAGCTTCGTTGCCCGAACACGATTGGTGCTGACCACACTAGGTGCTACCGCGGTAGCAAGAGAGGCCAGGCAATGACAATTGAGAGGTTGTCACTGAACATTTCTAGTCACACGGGAAGAGAGGTCCAATGGCAAGGCCATACGCCCGTTTGGCTCCTCGCGGAGTATAGCTCACATCCAAATATCATATCTGATTGGGGAACGGGGCAACACCCATGAAGCTCCGGCGGAAAGGGAAGGCCTGCCAGGCCGTATGCCCATGGGTGCAGGATTCTTCGAAAAAGCGCGGGCTGACTCGGAGACCTGGGACCTTGGCTTAGCAACGAATGAATATTTCTCCTCGAGCTTTCTCTGCCAGCGGCTTATGTAGTGATCGGCCAGCTCGCTAAGCTTCGCTTCGGAGGAACCTAGCTTCTTCAGCGAAGCTGGAGGAACGGAGTTGGCTTCTCCCGTTGGTCAAGCAGGCTTCGCTCCTTGNAAAAAGCGCGGGCTGACTCGGAGACCTGGGACCTTGGCTTAGCAACGAATGAATATTTCTCCTCGAGCTTTCTCTGCCAGCGGCTTATGTAGTGATCGGCCAGCTCGCTAAGCTTCGCTTCGGAGGAACCTAGCTTCTTCAGCGAAGCTGGAGGAACGGAGTTGGCTTCTCCCGTTGGTCAAGCAGGCTTCGCTCCTTGACTTTATTTAATAAGGGAAGGGGAAAGTCTTTACTTAGTAGTCGGCATTATAGAAGCGGTTTGTCGAGTCTACGAAGCTTTCCTTCTTGTAGTCGGCCCGTAATGCCTCCCTTCATTTGCTTGCCTCCTTCCTTACTTTTCAGAGAAGCATTTTACGACTATAAAGGGCGCTGTTCACCTTTTGAAACTTAGCTACACCGGTCACGACATCTTGTTGATATTGAGGACTTTCGCTGACTGAATCCATAAACCTAGAAAGTCACCGTCACTGGTACTTTTTTTGACTCGATAGGTAGGTATTGGTGGAGCTTGCGTAATGTAGTTGTAGTTAAGGTTGCATTGAAATCTTTATTTTTTTTGAAGATCTACTGAACAAAGGCGAACGGGGCTCCCAAGGCGGGACGTCTGGCAGAATGCTTGGCCTCCTGCGCTGGAAGCGAGACCCGAAGGGTGAGCTTCTGGCGGTTAGCTTCTAGAACTTATAATAGGCATTAGGCATTCTGAGCTGGAAGGAGGCAAGCAAAAGGCCGACCACTCTATCATTTCCCATTTCTGATGGGAAGGCCGACCACTACACGGACTCTATAACAAGTCATGAGCGATATCGAAACCAAGCCTTCGCCTATAGGCTTGGGGATGAAAGCCAGCCCGACGAAGGCCTATGATAGAGTAAGAAAAAAAGTACGTTAAAGTGACGAAGTCACTTAGCCGTCTACAAAGGGAAAGGCGTCGGTACGGAGTCACCGTCAGCTGTGGATATAGACTATACTATAAGGAACGGAGTCTTAAACTATGGACCGAGACTACACTAAGGAACAAGGAAGCTTGACTGAGCAAAGAAGTCAAGAAACGAAGCTGCTTCTCTAATAGCCCCGGAGGGCGAAGGCTTTTTAAAAAAGTTTGATTCCTGGAGAGGGGGCTTCAAGTTCTTAGGAAGAGCCGTACGAGGCAGCTCACGTACGGTTCGGGAGCCGAGCCCCTGCACAGGGGCTTAGGTCAACACTTATATAATAGCCAGTCATCAATTAGAAGCAGGCAAAATGGTGATGAATTGCGATTGGTCCAAACCTTCGACCAGCTCCTTCTTGCAATCCGCCCAGAATGACCATCCTAAGCCCTTATTCACTGTGTGAAGAACGGGGCAGTCCGCTGGAGTGTAGGCTTCTTGGCCACGCCCCCTGCTTATAGATACGAAATACTTGAGATAAATTATCAAATAGGAAATTGCATACCATTAGCCGATATACGTATAGGAACATGGGTACATGAACCCTATAAAATCCTTCACTTTTAGCTTTGAATTACTTATATATCCTATGAATTTCATTTCGCATCGGAAACGATTCTAGGAGAAGTTCGAATCCGTTCCGTTCGGATATTGATCGGTCTTGGTTTGACATGGTTTACGTGTTACTGGTTCCCGGAAGAGTTAATATCTCCATTAGCGTCACCCTTTCTTACCCTGCCTTTTGACTCGTATTTTGTTTGTACACAATTAACGGAGGCCTTTTCGACATTTGTTGCAACGTCTTCAATAGCATGCTCTTATTTCGTCTTTCCTTTAATAAGTTATCAAATTTGGTGCTTTTTGATCCCCAGTTGCTATGGAGAACAAAGGACGAAATACAATCGATTCCTCCATTTAAGTGGTTCTCGCTTCTTCTTGTTCCTGTTCCTAACTCCTCCCCGGGTCGTTCCCAATGTTTGGCACTTTCCATACTTCGTGGGTGCAACATCAACAAATTCGCTCATGATCAAGTTACAACCTAAGATCTATGACCATATTATGTTAACTGTTCGTATTTCGTTCATTCCATCGGTATGCTCCCAGGTACCTGTAATTGTGATCTGTTTGCCAGAACCAAGGGGTCTTTCTTTGGAAACCTTCACGAACAATCGTCGTTTTTTGATGGTTTTTCCGCTTCTCACAGCTGCTCTTTCCACACCTCCGGATATCTGGTGCCAAATCGTCGCCCGTTTCCTTATTTCTTTGATAATAGAGTTGGCTATTTTTGTGGCATCGATTGTACAAGTTCGTGAAGAGGGCTGGACGAGTGGAATGAGGGAGAGCGGCTCGATCGAGAAAAAAAAGAAGAGTAGCCCCCCCTAGAACCTGGCAAAGTAACTATCAATGAATTCCAATAAAGATTATAACACACAGAGGACTCCTTACCTTAGGAGCGGGATGAGTGATACATTCGGTGAGCGCCGTAGTTCAGTTTTCCTTATTCGTTAGCTATGCTAAAGGAATGGATTGTTCTCTTTAGGGAGTGCAGAATCAACTAGGGTTAACCTCCGAGGAACGCCTCATGCTAGCCAATCTCAGGTAATTGGTCTATGGCAAAGGGGTTCCTCCTTCCTTCACCTGATGGCAAATACAAGAAGAATTCGGCAACGCAAAAGCGGGCTTAATAATCAAATAATAAGATCGAATTAAGAGGCTCGTCCCCTGAACTATCTAGTTAACGGCGGCGTGATCTTGCTGTAGGGTCAGAGCTGCACCGAAGAACAGTTATTATCGACTCGATGGCTCTGATCCGCGTGAATCAGACTGTGAGTTACTGGTTCTTGAATGGGAATCCCGAGCACCAAAGAGCAGAGTGATCCTGCTCAAGATAGGACCGGGTAAAGGGAAAAAGACAGAAAAGACCATAGAATAGCAATAGGAATCGCTGCTATCCGACAACTTTCTCCGTGGAGCCCTAAAGGTTAACAAAAGATTGTAGAACCCATGGACTTACTATCTAAACGATACGAGACGGGTCAGTCAAGGGCCACCAGAGGCACAAAGCAGGCGAATATCCGTGAGAGCTGAAGATATCAAAGGTATAGGTAAGTAAGGCTTGCACCTCTTTTAATATCAAGGGCAATAAGACGTCGAAGGAAGAATCCGCAATGCTTTGACATTCCTTTTCAAATGAGTTGTGCCCAGCCCAGTTAGTCCACTACTACAGATAGTAACTAGCACAGAAAAACAAGATGGAATCAAATACGGTGTTAATGAATTTACTGAAGTGAACCAAGGAACGTAGTAACTCGACTGGTTGGAGAGGAACTTTGTTATTAGGGTTGAATTTCCAGTCTTCGGGCCTCAACACCGGAGTTCATCCTGAGGCCTAGGTAGGTAGTGACGTCTCTTGCTGGGTCTTCCATAAGGAATGGTCCTGTTAGTCTTAATCCAGCGACTGGCCTTGCTCCGGGCGATATCCGAAGTATGGTTCGCTCGCTAGTTATATGCTTAACACATGCATCTGAGGTCAGAGGTGCCGCTAAGGTGAACGCTCAGCTTCAACTCTGACTATATATTATATATAAGTGCACTGAAGGTTAACTATGTCAATCTACAACTCAATGTGATTGGCTTCGCCCGGGCTCAGTCTCTTTCGGCCGGTATGTAGAATCGTCGGAGCGAGCAGAGCAGCGGAGCGAAGTGGGCTGTGTAATCATTTGATTTTTTGACTTTTTTTGAATATAATATATAAGGGGTTCTCCTCCAGCTTCGCTGAAGAAGCTAGGTTCCTCCAGGAGCTGAAAACGAGTCCTTCGGAGGGCGAAGAAACTCATTAATTCATTGATGAGGGCCCCTCATTCAAATGTTATGCTTCGTGCTTCCCTCACATTTTGAGTTGATTCTTTCCAATTTCGAGAGTGAGATTGATCCGACCAAGTAGTAGTGCGGAAGCCAGTACATACATGGCTAGTTTCCAGGCAAGCCATCCATATTGGCATAACCTTCTTCTATGCCATCTAGCTTCATAGCCGATAGTTTCCGTTGATCGTTATCTTCATCCATCGGATCAGCTCCTTCTTTTCTTATTTTTTCAATGACTGCTTCTCCTAGAGAACTTCTTTCTCTAGTCACTAAAGTGCGTTTCACCCTCGTTCTTCTCTCTTCTCCTAGACCCACCCCCTTACTGTCTGTTTAGGCCCCCTGCCAGGTACTCCAGTCTCATTGCGTACCNATAGTTTCCGTTGATCGTTATCTTCATCCATCGGATCAGCTCCTTCTTTTCTTATTTTTTCAATGACTGCTTCTCCTAGAGAACTTCTTTCTCTAGTCACTAAAGTGCGTTTCACCCTCGTTCTTCTCTCTTCTCCTAGACCCACCCCCTTACTGTCTGTTTAGGCCCCCTGCCAGGTACTCCAGTCTCATTGCGTACCGTCCGTCTGCATCTTCTTGCCCTGTTTTCATAGTTGTTTGCTTTTCTTATATGGATTAGGCTTGGTTAAAAGCGTACCGTCAAGCAAGAAAAGGAACCGTAAACTAGCTTTACCGAGTTGGCTTCTCCCGTTGGTCAAGCAGGCTTCGATCCTGGCTTTCTGGTCTGTGATAAAAGCAATCTCTCTCCGGTTGGTTCGACTGTTAATGGAAAAATGAATAGATCCTTAGGAAGAAAAAGGCTCTTTTGCTCTTGTGTAGAATCAGTTGTTACAGAAGGAGCGGTTTTCGTTTCGCAATGGAATCAGAATTAGCTACGATCAATGAAAATATCGTAGTATAGTAAGAGCCAACAAAGTAGCTGTAACGTGAACAGCTGAAGCTCCTTACCTTATATGGGCTGCACCGCGCTGAATGATCAAATCCCATTTATTCTGATTTTTTTACATTCCAACTCCCATGCCTTTCCGTTGGTCAACAACCAACCGTCGATTTCCCTTTTCCTTCATTTTGAGAACAAGTCTCTCTTGGGGGGGGAGCAGAGCATGCAAAATCGAGCAATAGATGGATCTTAGAAGAATTCCACTTTGAACGGCACGACTCTTTCGATTTTTGCGCTGGCAATTTGAGTTGTCTCCCCAAAACTTTCAATCGACACACTCGACGCAGATAGCTCCGGTGGCCCCGGCTTCTGCCTCTATCAGGCTTAGGCTGCCCCCACCCCCACAGCCACAGCATGGAGTAGCTGCTCCCGCGCTACAACCAATCCAAATTTTATACGGATCGATATATGATGATGCTAAACCGAGACCGAGATAGAGAAAGAGGGCGAAGAAACTCATTAATTCATTGATGAGGGCAATAGCGCCTCCCTTTGTTGGCTCTTCAAGACAAAAACACTCATAGGAATGGTGCTAATTCCCATGTTCCTTCTAGTCTCGTTTGGTTTCGAAAGCCTCCCCCTCCCTGTCTCTTACTCTTTGAAAGNATATGATGATGCTAAACCGAGACCGAGATAGAGAAAGAGGGCGAAGAAACTCATTAATTCATTGATGAGGGCAATAGCGCCTCCCTTTGTTGGCTCTTCAAGACAAAAACACTCATAGGAATGGTGCTAATTCCCATGTTCCTTCTAGTCTCGTTTGGTTTCGAAAGCCTCCCCCTCCCTGTCTCTTACTCTTTGAAAGCTGTCATCCTGGATTTCTTTTTTAATGGTTTCTTTGTTCTCTTATTTGGATTGAAAGAAAGACAAAACTTCATTTTCTTCGACGAATTTCGGCTATGACCAATGCACCAATAGCTGAATAGGCGTAACAAAGCTACCTGAAAAAAGGCAAGGTGCACCTTGGGATTGAAATCGACGAATTGCGTTTTGCCCGAGAGATTGATTTAGAAAGATTATCCATTGGATAAAGAATGCAAAAATAGAAAGAATATAAATAAAGGCGCATACACGGGAAGGGGGCACCACTACTTCCAGGGGGAGACTAGCCTCATTACTTCTTAGTGGGCGAGAGGCGCGCCTAACCCACCTACCCACTCATAAATCACGGTGTTCAGCTGACTTGAACTGATAGACCCCTATTGTATTGGAATTTAGCGCCCATCTTTTGACTGTTGTCAACGAATCTCTTCAATGTTCGATTCTACTCTATGTTAGAACATTTCTGTGAATGCTATTCTAATCTAAGTGGTCTTATTCTGTGTCCTGTGCTAGGAAGCATTACTCCTCTTTTCATTCCAAATTCAAGAATACGACCGATACGATTAATTGGTCTGTGTGCCTCTCTTATTACTTTTTTGTATTCTCCTGTTCCTCGGATACAATTCGACTCTTCTACGGCCAAATCTCAATTTGTGGAAAGCCTTCGATGGCTTCCTTATGAAAACATCAATTTTTATTTGGGTATAGACGGTATCTCTTTATTCTTCGTGATATTGACCACATTTCTGATCCCTATTTGCATTTCAGTGGGTTGGTCTGGTATGAGAAGTTATGGGAAAGAGTATATTACAGCATTTTTAATTCGTGAATTTCTAATGATCGCCGTGTTCCGCATGCTGGATCTTCTACTATTCTATGTTTTTCCCGAAAGCGTGCCAATCCCTATGTTGTGCGGAGCGGAGTATCTTATATTCGCTGGGAGAAAGCTTTTCCTCTGCAGGGGCCTTGTGCAGTAAACCCCCTACGGGCGGTCGTCCGTCGTCGTAAAGTAGTCCCCGCGAAGCTTTCGGGAAGAGGGGTAGTCTTGTGTGTAAGCATAGCATTTCTGGTCGAACCCGCCCAATCCAACTAAGAAGAACCGAACCTGACAAACACATCTTTTTCCTTTTGGGAGGGTACTCCGAGTAGTGGGTACCTCGTAGGACCTCGACCCGCCTACTCGGGTCTTGTATGGATATGCAGGAAGGGGTGCTCCTAGGTGTGTGTAGGGGTTGTGTTTGTTCGCGAGAATGGATTCCTCGTCAAGTCTGTTTGGGGGGTGTGGACACACTTGCGCGAATTCAGGTAACGGCTACAAGGGAGAAATCAAAAGGAAACTGTACCCGACCAGGGATGGACGTAAACTCGTAAGCTACCGAGGTTAGGGATAATCGTCCAGGTCTTATTGTGAAACAAAAAAAGCCGCCCCGCCACAGCAAGCGGGTTGGTTCCTCTGTCGTCGCCGGATAGCTCTTGGCGAGGTACTTTTGTCACTCGACTGAAAGGAGAGGAGACCTTAGGATAAGTTGCTAAAACAAAGGGGAGCAGAGGATCGACCCGTTCAGTAGAATTCCGAAGAAAGACTGTTGACAGCTGGTGGAGACATTTCTTTGGCCCCCGTCAAATCAAAAGGCGTTCCTCGGGCAGGGTTAAGCTCGGCAGAGGGTTCGAGAATAGGGTCCTGCCCTTCAGATTCTCAGATAAAAAAAGAGTTCCAAACCTTTATGCATGCACCTCCGTATAAGTGCTGCGTATAAGTTCCGGCCAGGATAATTGGGAAAGATCAAACCCGAAATAACCGCTCACATCACAGTAGTAGCGTAAAGGCCGTAAGTCGGGGGGGCGGCCATAACATAAGGTAAGGCTATTACTTTCACATCTCTCTTTCTCTCGTACTATAAGAAAGAGAGATCCGCTGCGTGAGCAACCCGACTGTGCGTTACATGTGCTCTACAGGCCGCACTCCATCTTTCTTCTTAACGAGCCCATTTATCTTTAGATTTTGAAGACGGGCGTTGCGTTCGGTTCGAAAGGTATGGTTTTCAGTATGTCTCCAGATAGGGCGCCCCACTAGTCCGGCTAGCTAGTGAGCGGTTCTTTCGGGCGAGAAGCAGGGGCCGGGCCCTACGGGCGGGCATCTCCCGCAACGAAAGCTGCATAGTTCGCCACCACCCGAAAAGTAAAAGATTAGAGAGTCCAGGCTAAAAATACATGCATAGATAGTGGTCTAATGACAAGGGCCGACGACGGAAGCTCGGGACGGAGCCGTATGATGCGGAAGTCTCACGTACGGTTCCCTGAGAAGGGAGTGGCTACCTACTGGAGCTTCGACCAAGCACCCCCGGTCAATTCCGCTTTGGGGCCACCCCTTACTCTACCATTATTATAGGAGTATGGGGTTCGAGACAAAGAAAGATCAAGGCAGCATATCAGTTTTTCCTTTATACTTTACTTGGATCTCTTTTTATGCTATTAGCTATTCTGTTGATTCTTTTCCAAACAGGAACCACCGATTTACAAATATCATTAACCACAGAATTTAGTGAGCGGCGCCAAATCTTTCTATGGATTGCTTCTTTCGCCTCTTTCGCCGTCAAAGTGCCTATGGTACCAGTTCATATTTGGTTACCCGAAGCTCATGTAGAGGCACCTACGGCAGGATCCGTCATCTTGGCAGGAATTCCTTTAAAATTTGGAACCCACGGGTTTTTAAGATTTTCAATACCCATGTTTCCCGAAGCGACACTTTGTTCTACTCCTTTCATTTATACTTTAAGCGCGATTGCTATAATATATACTTCCTTGACCACTTCAAGACAGATCGATCTAAAGAAGATCATTGCTTACTCCTCAGTAGCCCATATGAATCTGGTGACTATTGGTATGTTTAGTCGGGCGGCGGCCGTTAGGTCACCTATTTTGAGTTATGGACACACAAGGCCAAAACATGTGTGTCGGGCGTGCGACCCATCAACTTACTAGCAATGGGGGAGAAAACATAGCATGTCGCAACAAAAGCTTGATTCGAGGCGTCAGCAAAACACTGCCGTCTGTTCCTTTCAGTCCCTTAGCGCCCCGGGACGGGAGTGGGGGGGGACGGTCGTTAGACGGCAACAGCAGCACCGGCTCCACGAAGTCTGAATCGAATCTTTCTGTTGGCTTTCCCAATTCATTCGTAAATCAAAATCAAAGGGCTAGAAGTGCTCGCTTCTAGCTGCTTCGCCTGCTTCTTCTTATTATGGCGGCTATGTTGGCGTGGCGAAAATGAACGAAAAGCGAGATGAACGTGCTATTTTCAAATCGATTGATAGATAGCCTGATCTGTTCTGATAGATCTAAAGAGTAGAAATAGATAGAGAATAGAGAGGGAATCAATAATAAGGTCTTTGAGCCTATTTCTATCTATTGATGAGACAACTATCTATTCTTGATCCATCAGAAAGAAATCGATATGTATCTGATGGAGTCTACATCGTACGTAGAGCGCCCCAGCGCTTTTTGGGCCAGCTCAGTTCTCTTATCCATCGGTCCAATGCACTGGGCTCATCTCATGGAGGGAAAAGCCAAAATGTAGTTGTCTTGTTGTTGTTCGCCGCCTCGACGCATTCCCTTCTCTCCCCGGCATCGTCCCACACAGAAAGAAAGAGCGCGGAGCCCCGGCCCGAGCCATAGGTCCGCTAACGTAAAGCGAGGAGTTGAGCCTGAACTGGCGAACCGAAGTCACTTTCGGAACCATACTTCCTACAGCTAACATGTGCCCAGTCCTGCGGAAAGGCGCAAACGAACGTGAGCTGCTATACCGAATACCCCGCTGGCCATCGGGGACCGAGTGGTAAGGCCATGATCTGCAGGGGAACGGATCACTCATTCTTCCATTGGGGACAGGTGCACGAACGACAACTCCAAACGTCACACATCCGCCGCCTACTTACCGTTTAGGTGGCACCAGCGAGATCCAGCTAAAGAAAAAGAGTGTCGCGGCTGCTCCACTCCGCCGCGGTCTCATGAACTTCACGGAGGAACCTAGCTTCTTCAGCGAAGCTGGAGGAACCCCGCCCCGCGCGCAAAGCGAATGGGCGCTGTGCTGTGGGTCAGTTTCGGGGCGGGGGGCGCAGAGATACCAGAAGAATGATTCATTTGTTTGGATCGACGAGCTTTTTCAGCCCCAAAACTCAGAATCAATGGAATGTCTGTCCATAAACATCTATTCTATCTGTATATATAGGGGATCTCTTTATACATATCAAAGTCTTTTATGGCATGATATGATCGCCTAGCTGTAGCCGCATATCAGCTGCGCTCAATATGCGGATTTCTGTTGGATCAGATCTTTTCTTTCGCTTTGCCGGAAGCTTTTTGACCTAGCGAAAAGCACTTTCGCGCAAGCAAAGTAGAAGCTTTGCCAGAAGCAAGACGAGGAAGCGGAGCTGTCGTATAAGCGGTAGCTTCCCCCGCCCGACTAAAATACAAGAGTCGCGGCCTACTTTGATTGCGAAGGGGTTTGGCAACAAGCAAACGGCTTTCTATCATAGTTGCAAGGGTTCAAAACCTTAGTTCGCTGCTTTTCCCAGGGCCAGAGAAGGGCTTATACTGCTCGCCTTTGTTTGGTTTGATATATTCATTCAGTCAAAATACAAACTACAACAAAGTGGAAATGGAAGGGCCACTATAGAAGCTAGAACTTGCCTTATAAGTCGGCCTAACCAAAGCGTCACGACAACAAAAAATTACCCTTATGAATGGAATCTTAAGTAGGGGGCTTTGACCGCCCGCCTATCAATCAAAGAGGCAGAGAATAAACGTAAGCTCACCCGTAAGCTCGAAGAGCTTCCCTTCATTCGCTTCGCGGGAGCCGCACAGCACATAGCTGGAAGTCAGAGGGCCCATACTACCTGCCTAACCCTTCGCTCCGAGGGACCGTAGATCGGAAAGCACCCCATTTATCCAAAAGATAAGGGAAGGGGCCTATGTATTTGCATGACCCCTGCGGAGGAACCCCTATCCCGGAGCCAATCCCCTATTGGTCCTGCCACCACGCCGCAGAACGAGAGCTCGTGTGGAACCTTTTCTTTCTGGCGTAACAGCGGTGGAACGTAACAAAAGATTACGGTCGCCTAACATTAACATAAGGGCGGGGGGTACGGTAAACTCGGCCAAAATATGACACCCGAAGGGCCCGAACGCACAATCCTATCCCATCCGAGTCCGAGTTTACCCCTTGCACTGCGGACAGCCGACTGTAGCATCATAAGGCTTGCAGACCTTTCGAGGTAAAAAAAAAAAGGTACGGTACCATAGGAGGTTGGACTTTCTCAACGTGGTGTATAGCACGAAAAACCTTTCGATACAAGAAAGGGCCGTTCTCACATGAAAGAAGAGAATCAATCCTTTCTTCTCTTCTTTCTCTTTCTCGAGAAGGAAAGAAAGAGGATGGGGGGAGGGGGGAATGGGGCCGGTGCCCTTCTTTTACGGCCGTCACTCCTATTTGTCAGCCGTGAGGAACTACCGCTCGGTCGGTGGGAAAGGAAAGGCTTGGGCCTACCTATATCCCGATAAGACCTCATAAAGGAACGGCGGGAGTGATAGGTTCCATATTGCCGAGCTGAAGGGCAAGACTTTTGTACGTGATCGTAGTATGTGACGTCGTCTCGTCCACGCTGCATTGAAGAGTACCTACGCACTAAGTTCCGGTTCACTGATAAGGAAGATAGAGTTAGGCGGGGGTCTACGATGTGATACTCAAGTATGACCCGGGGAGATACATGCTAACTATGGGTAGGAAGCAGGAACCCTTATGTAAATAATTTCGGGGGGGTTACAGATCTCTTATACTACCATCGATCGACAGAGCGGAACGACCAGAAAAATAAGTGATGTTAGAAAGCCGTATGATAGGTGGTAACTATCTTGTACGGTTCGGGGGGTAATCGGCGTACTCCGGGAGAAATCTTTCGCTCTATCGAACATACAGGGAATTGGAGGTAGTATTCTACCGATGTTAAGTCATGGACTGGTTCCTTCAGCCCTTTTTCTATGTGTTGGTGTTCTATATGACCGACATAAGACTCGACTTGTTAGATATTACGGAGGTTTAGTGAGCACCATGCCGAATCTCTCTACCATTTTCTTTTCTTTTACTTTGGCCAATATGAGTTCACCTGGTACTAGCAGCTTTATCGGGGAATTTCCCATCTTAGTAGGAGCTTTCCAAAGAAATAGCTTAGTAGCCACATTAGCAGCGCTTGGGATGATTTTAGGTGCGGCCTATTCCCTTTGGCTATATAATCGTGTGGTTTCTGGAAATTTAAAACCCGATTTCCTCCATAAATTCTCCGATTCAAATGGCAGAGAAGTTTCCATATTTATACCTTTTCTTGTTGGAGGGGCGACCGTCCGTTGAACTACCAAAGAAAAAGGGTAAACCTATGTGATCATGACATTGTAGGTGCTTGCGATGGGACGGATGCGACTTCCCTCAGTTGGTTTGGGTGGCATAGCCCGTTGCATAAGTCCCCCTTTTTTTGATTCATTTTTTGAGTCTTTAGGGAGCCAAAGCTTGACTTTACTAATAAAGGCTCGCGCAGGGGCGCTAACTTTTTTTTTTTGCTAAGCCGTCTCTTTCTGGGTGGGACCGAGAGAAATAAAGGACAGAGGGCAACCATGCATGGTACTTCTCGACCCTGTCTCCGAGGGACAGTTGAACGAGCGACTCATGAATGCTGCCGGGTCGGACGAGCCGATAACTCGAACGCGTTCGGTCTGTTTTTTGAGCAAGAATCACAGCGTTACCTTACTTTCACCATGATACGGACTCCAAGTTCTTATGGCAGAGCACGAGGAGATTTATCATCAATATTCTAATGGGAATGGAAACCAGAAGCACGACCGAGGTCTTCGTAGTCCAAAATAATCAAACCATCAATAACAGTAATGTAAGCATGAGACTTTTTGGTAGTACCGGTGAACCAGATGGCCGCGGCGATGGAATCTGGGACGGAGGACTCGTAGTATCTCTCTAGATCCGGCAAAAGCGAAAGACCCCCTAGCTCCATTCGAATGAAGGCTGACTGCTGAGCCCACTCTGGCCCCGCGGGGCGGGCCCCCGTGGTTGCGAGCCGGAGCTGCCATAGCTTATGGCTAGAGCAATGGGAGGGGCCCCGGCAGAGAGAACAGAACCGTAAGGATAACGAGTGCTCCGCCCGTCAAGCGGGCGGCAGGAGCAGCAGGCAAGTACTTGGTAGGCCAACAGTCCAGTGGGCACTCGACGAAAGGGGGGCACACGGAGCAAGTACGAGAAATTGGCCCCGCTCCGCTTTATAAAAAGCAAGGACCACTACGGGAGGTCAAACCCAGGACCTATGGAAGTCGGGGCTCGTCCCCGGTCAATATTGGATCAAACAAAACAAGCAATAGGGGCCGTAGCACTGACCTCTTTTTTTATTGATTCAATATAATAGGGGAAAAGATCGTACAGTTCCCTACCGAGACAAGAGAAACTCTTAACAGATCCTCCGCGCGCTGGGCATACCTCTTCCGTGCGTCTTTCTCGTGGCAGGAACAGAACAACAGGGAAAGACCCGGCCGACCTGCCCAGGGCTCGAGGGCGAGCTTTATTTAAGAGAGAATGGGGAGCGAATCGAAAGGCTTCCGTTTTCGTTCTTGGTTTGGTTCGGGCTCCTCTCGATCTTTTTCGTAGTAGGGAAGGGGGAAGGAGTCTAAATCTATGGACATTAATGAACCATCATTGATGGACGTTGCACATGACACGATCAATTCGACTCAAGGTCCGGCGCTAATAGAGGTTGCTTACTTTCCTAGTAGCGAAGGAAAAGGGCAGGGCTTTTTTCGTGGTAATAGTGGGCGGGTCTCCTTTCGAAGTAAAGGCCTTCGCATTCCTAATTCCGCCCCACCAACCACGAACGGCTTAGTTTGCCCCAGCTTGGTGAATCCCCGCGCAACGACATAGTTTGTGCGCCCTTTACCGTTCTCGCTCAGTGTTTGCAACGGCTGGGGAGGCAGTCGTAGAAGCGAAGTCTATCGCCACGCCAACCATCAAATACGAGATTGGGGGCCCCTTCTCAACGATTTGATGGAATGGCCCACCCAATAGCGCTTATGTCATATGGGAACTCATGGCTGGAAACAATCCTTATGGTTTTGATATCCGGTAGGAATAATAAGAATCAAAGTCCAGGTAGGTTGGTGAGCCTAGTGATAGGAGACTATCTAGCTTGGTTCGGAGAGCACTTGTTGGGTTAAAGACTTTTTTTGTTGCTAAATGTTACAGCCTAAATGCTGAACTATTGACTCTACTCGTTCGGATGGGTGTTCACCCCAAAGTGTTCCCGGACTGCATGCATACATCCGTAAGTAACTTAGTGCAACATGGCAAATTTCATTGAGAGGAATCAGCAAAGAAAAGAAAAACGGGTCAACATCTTAATGTGTATTTGAGGTCCTCGGGCTGAGGAGTGTCCACATGAGTTCGTTGAGGTGTCTACACAGGAATCAAAACCTCTTTTCTATTCTGTCGAGAGTTCGGATTGCTCCACCTAAGTAGAACGAAAGGGAGGAAAGATTTTGATTCTTTATAGCCCTTACCAGACCTTATGTCATTTCCTTCGGTTGGGTTAGCTTTTTGGTAGGAAGGGCGGTAGTAGAGTTGCGTCAGGTCCTTCGCGTCACTCTACTCTTGGTTTTCCTGGCAGGGATGCCCATTGTTCCTTGCGATAACTACTCTTGGAGGAAGGGCTGGGCTACTAGATGGGCGGGTGCGCCACACCTAAACCAGGCTCAAAGCGATGAGACGATTTCTTCTCGGTTAGACTCTCGAGAACCAAAACAATAGACTGATTGACTGTGGTCAGGTCAGAGCCTTCTGTTGGAGGAGATTGATTTGACTTGCTATCGTACTGAGTCTTCCGCTGGAACTGGATTCTCTAAAGCTGAAAGTTTCTTCGCCCTCATCAATGAATTCATTAGTTTCTTCGCATTGGTATTAGAGTCAGACAGCCAGCTATATATGTGGGAGTCTTTTCTAGACTAGTATACTCTAGCTCCTTAGCTAGCAATAAGTAGTATTAGAAAGTGAGAGATAGGCCTATAGATTCCTTTGTCTCGTATTCAAACGGATACTATAGAAGGAGAAGGCTGAGAACGGCCTTGTTTGGCTCATCAATTCCAACAACCAACAAACGGTTACATCAAAGCTTGAAAGCCCTCCTAGCGCCTAAAAGCTGTCCGATCCAATGCAATCTCATTCACTACTTGTAAACCTCCCAGAACAGAAAGCTTAAGATTCGAGGAACGCCTCCGGTCAATGTATTCTTATTCCCTCTAATCAGCATTCCCATTCCATTCCCAATCAATGAGTGTTACGGAACTAGAAGCAATCCTTTCTTGTAGGAAGCTAACTTTCCCGACCTCCTATAAGGAAGTGAATGAAAGTAGGTGAAATCTCTTCTATTCAGAAGCGGATCAAGAAAATAGTAATCAACGGAGAGAATAAGCAATTGATAAGCAATTGAAAGGATTCTCATCTTGTCTTCTTCAAGGAGAAGCTTAGCTGCTTGGAGCAGGACTTCTTACAAGGCTATCTTGATAGAAGCAATTCTCTTTTGAGACACTGAAATACGCCCAGCAGGAACGAAATGAGAATATATTGGTGGTACGTAGTTGCTGTGCCTGAGAGAAGCGGCTAACATAGATGCTAGGGAAGGCGGTGAAGGAGAAGAGTGGATCGGTAAGTAGAGAGGTGTTCGAGTGTTTGAAGCGGCAGCAGAAGAATCTTATCAAAATGGATGGACTAGTTCGGTATATTCGTAGGAGTCAGCGCACAAAGATTCTATACCAGTAGAATACACTACACAAGGATTCTCTACAAAAAAATAGGAGTTAGCGCTCCAGTAGGGAAGGGAGGACCTCTTGAATAAGTCATAATTGTATAACCTATCTCCGTCCTGTGAGAAAGACCTCCTTAAGAAGACGGGGGCTGCGGTAGCTGCTGAATCTTCTATTGGTACATGGACAACTGTGTGGACCGATGGGCTTACCAGCCTTGATCGTTACAAAGGACGATGCTACCACATCGAGCCCGTTCCAGGAGAAGAAAATCAATTTATTGCTTATGTAGCTTACCCTTTAGACCTTTTTGAAGAAGGTTCGGTTACTAACATGTTTACTTCGATTGTGGGTAATGTATTTGGGTTCAAAGCCCTGGCTGCTCTACGTCTAGAGGATCTGCGAATCCCTCCTGCTTATACTCAAACTTTCTAGGGACCACCTCATGGTATCCAAGTTGAAAGAGAGAAATTGAACAAGTATGGACGTCCCCTATTAGGATGTACTATTAAACCTAAATTGGGGTTATCCGCGAAGAACTGTGGTAGAGCAGTTTATGAATGTCTACGTGGTGGACTTGATTTTACCAAAGATGATGAGAATGTGAACTCCCAACCATTTATGCGTTGGAGAGACCGTTTCTTATTTTGTGCCGAAGCTATTTATAAAGCACAGGCTGAAACAGGTGAAATCAAAGGGCATTATTTGAATGCTACTGCGGGTACATGCGAAGAAATGATCAAAAGAGCTGTATTTGCCAGAGAATTGGGAGTTCCTATCGTAATGCATGACTACTTAACAGGGGGATTCACCGCAAATACTAGTTTGGCTCATTATTGCCGAGATAATGGCCCACTTCTTCACATCCACCGTACAATGCATGCTGTTATTGATAGACAGAAGAATCATGGTATGCACTTCCGTGTACTAGCTAAAGCTTTACGTCTATCTGGTGGAGTCATATTCACGCGGGAACAGTAGTAGGTAAACTTGAAGGAGATAGAGAGTCAACTTTGGGCTTTGTTGATTTACTGCGCGATGATTATGTTGAAAAAGATCGAAGCCGCGGTATCTTTTTCACTCAAGATTGGGTCTCGCTACCATACTACAAGGCTATCTGAGTTCACAGGTTTAGTTGCCTGTACCTTTTTTTGAATCGAGATTTTTGTGGTGTTCAGTCTACCGCTCCGTGGGTACAAGATCGAAAAGAATGCATTAAATGGATGCATTGAGATTCCGTAAGTAACTCAGTGAGTGCTTTCTAAGAAAGAAGGGCAAGGAAGAAGAAAATGAAATAGGAACAACCGCGCTGGTCGTAATAGATCGACTTTCATGCTGAAGCAAGAACTAGCATGAAAGTTCCATTTCAGGGAAGGACGACGTACCCATGATACTTTCTGTTTTGTCGAGCCCTGCTTTGGTCTCTGGTTTGATGGTTGCACGTGCTAAAAATCCGGTACATTCCGTTTTGTTTCCCATCCCAGTCTTTCGCGACACTTCAGGTTTACTTCTTTTGTTAGGTCTCGACTTCTTCGCTATGATCTTCCCAGTAGTTCATATAGGAGCTATAGCCGTTTCATTCCTTTTCGTTGTTATGATGTTCCATATTCAAATAGCAGAGATTCACGAAGAAGTATTGCGCTATTTACCAGTGAGTGGGATTATTGGACTGATCTTTTGGTGGGAAATGTTTTTCATTTTAGATAATGAAAGCATTCCATTACTACCAACCCAAAGAAATACGACCTCTCTTAGATATACGGTTTATGCCGGAAAGGTACGAAGTTGGACTAATTTGGAAACATTGGGAAATTTACTTTATACCTACTATTCTGTCTGGTTTTTGGTTCCTAGTCTTATTTTATTAGTAGCCATGATTGGGGCTATAGTACTGACTATGCATAGGACTACTAAGGTGAAAAGACAGGATGTATTCCGACGAAATGCTATTGATTTTAGGAGGACTATAATGAGGAGGACGACTGACCCACTCACGATCTACTAAAGGGCAAGTAGTTTGATTGGTTCGAATCCAATTCGCGAGCAGATGAGAAATTGTTGCACCGTGGACTCTGATTCAGTAGCGGCAGCAAATCCTTTTCTATTCTACGATCTGATCTTGTTTGTTGCCCGATTTGAAATCTCCCTTATAACTCCTTTTTGAAATCTCCCTTATAACTCCTTTTTGAAATCTCCCTTATAACTCCTTTTTGAAATCTCCCTTATAACTCCTTCTGGGCGTCCAGCTAAATAGGGGTCCTAGGCACATTTCTAGCTTAGGCAAACAAAAGAAATGAAGAGAAAGCACCGAGGAAGATGTCTGTGCCCATCTAATTCTTTAGCAGCTCCGGCATCGGCAACAGTTGGCTCAAAAGTTGCTTCGCTAGGAGTGTGCTAGCACAGATGAATATTCCGTAGATTACTAAAGGCAAGGAAGAGGTGTGCTTCAAAGCATCCGAAAAGCAAAGAAGAATGGTACAGCACATCGGTCGAAAAGGCGGTCTATTCCCGGTAAAGGTCTTTTCTATTCACTGGACACAGCATAGCAGCAAAGAAAATATAAGGCAAATTGCTGCGCTAGACCTTCAAGGGAAAGAAATCCTCGCGGATTGATCTGTATTACATGACCGATTGAAGAAAGGCGGGAAGGCTAGAGACTTCTTTTGCTTCTCTTATTTAAGAGCAGCTTTCTCCGTTCTGAAGCACAAGCACAGTTATTAATGGTGCTAGAGAGGTCAGGACATACTCTCGAGCTATGATGAACTGAGACGACTCTTCTCCTTGCTTAGAAAGCGGGGACGAGAAAGAGCTGGTTGCTTTGCTAGGGGGTTAAAGACATTCGGAAATGGCGTCAGCAGAGAAGCTGATAGACGAGAAAAAGAAAGAGCTCCGCCAAGTACAAGGCTAACAAGAATGCCCAAGATTTAGCTGAGGGAAATCAGTGCGCTTCTTCTCATCTTTGTTACTTAGCGGAGAGAATTGAGTTGGTCATTGCTTCGGGGCATCTAAGCGCACCCAAATCTGCAGCCTCGCTTCCAACCGCATCTTAGCTACCAGAGTCATTGAATACGACAATCACGCCTAGCTTACTTCGCTAGCAAAGCAGCACATCCCTTCACTCGAGACGACTCTTCGACTTCTTCTTTCTTTACGCCAATAAGAGCGCATTCAATGGATGATTCTTTTACTATTGGGGAATAATTGCCTCAACAGGAAAGAAGAGGGGCTATATCTCTATACTATATAAAAGCGGGTCCTTGGACCAACCATCGCCAGACAGACTTAGCAGATGAAACGAGTCGATTGGGTGAGAAATTAATATCCAGCACAGAGGAGTGATGGTCGATCGATAGTGCATATGATATGGATGGATGATTTCTGGCATTTCCATCTTTGACTTTTCTTGATCTTCTGTTAGCGAAGCATAATTTGTATTGGTTGGGTGGGGAATCCGTTCATCTGTTTTCATTCATCTGTTTCCAGCACATCCAGACAAAACGTTAATCCCCTGAAATGTTGAATAAAAGCAGCACGAAAATCCGCATTTTTAGGGTTTTTCGACTTGAATCAATTCCTTATATCCCGTGTTTTCAGCCTCATCAGTACGTGAAGACCCGGTTTCAGATCCTCGATTTTAGGAATGTTGTAAAAATATTGTTTTTGATTGACGAGGTCAAAACAGCCTGAAAAAGTGCTAATATCCCGGGATTTTTGGATGCATTTTGATGAATCAGTGGAGCTTCGAAAGATTTAAGCTTATGCTTAACACATGCAAGTTGAAACTGTTCAATAATAGGAAAAGATGACTACGATAAGGACAGCTCAGCATGGCTATTAGTAGGACTCCCCTTGGGTACCTAAGACAGGCAGAGGCAGTAAGCCCAATAAGAAGTCCTCGTTGCTGACGTTTACTTGCCCCACACATATTACTGGAGTCCGAGAAAGATAAAGGGTGATCAGAGCTGTCTTTTTCTTTAAGCGTACGTTAGGTCTACTGACTCAATCAACCTCTTGGCCAAGGCTCTATACCCATAGCCCTTACCACTCTTAACATTATCTTAAAGATAAGGACCAACGGCAAACAGATTCAAGTCAGTCGGTCATTTAACTCTTACAATTGTAAGGTCAGCGCCTCCCTATTATATTATGAGAATGGATATATTATGAGAATGGAGATATGAAAGAAATGCAAAGGTCAGTCCAGCACACTCCCTTTTCTCGTTTAGGCTAATCTCTTAGGTAACACATCGATAGTAGTTCGTTTACTCTTCCACAGCACAGGGGCCCCATATGGTGCCTTGGAAGGCTGGATAAAGCCTGCATCCAGCAAGTCTGTCAACTGCTTCCTAAGTTCTGCCAGTTCCAAGGGCGACATCCGATAAGGTGCACGTGC